CCTCCTAAAAGTGCTATGCAATCACTATCTACAGACATAATGGCTTCAACAGCCAAAACGTTACAAAACTAAAATGTAAATTGGCTACAAAAAGGCACCTTGCTGGCAACACATGGAACCTGGTAATACTTTCACTCTCCCAATAATCACATCGCTGGGTTCTAAGAGAAGAGGTAGGGTTTTTTCACTAGATACTTACATCAAAGACAAATTGCACTTATTAAACTAGAAGCAGGCAATTACAGTTATTTCATTTTTAATTACTAGTTTAAATTCTTCTGAAAGTGCTATCCTGCATGCTCAGTTCATACACTTATGAATGAAACATTTTGAAACCCTAACACTTTCTTCCCTTTAAGAAAGAAGTACTACAATGTGACAATGCTCCTATTATGACCAGCCATTTAAGAATGTCTTTCTGCTTTTCCAAGATTTTTTTGGCTCCTGAGAAATATTTCATACTTATTGCAATTCAAACAAAATGATTATTCATTCTTTTTTCTCCACTCTCCAAAGGCGAAGCGTGACCCAAGCCGTCTGTCACTGCGCAGAACTGCTGAGAGGGGACGACCGCTCATTTCCAGACCCTGCCAGGCCTTGGGAAAACTCCCGGCAGCAGTGAGGTGCTCGGCTAAATACTGCGTGTCATGGCTTCATAAGCAACATGTAAAATGCTGTGTGCATACATGCTGATACACGTGAAAGTATAGAATGTGGATACACACACATATATATATACATTTAGGGATACACGTTATTAAATTATATTACGCACCAAACCAACAGCCTGTGTTCTGGCAGATGCTCTGCAATCCGTCTCGGTGTGGGACAGAAAATAAAAGATTCTTTATGTCTAACTTCCAATGATACACTACATTTCCACTTTTTACCCCAAATTTCTCTCTGTGATAACTTTTAAGTTTAAACAAACTAAATGAAATACACTATCCTTTTTTTTTTTTTTCCTGAAAGCTTTTCTCTCTTCTGTTTGTCTAGTTTTCAAATGTTTACTTACCAAAAAAACCCAACAACCACCCAAACCCAACCACCTTCTAAGAAACACTTTTAAATGCACGAGCACCTTTACTTCTCCAGAATAAAACTCTCAATGCAAAGGCCAGTCCTTCCTCTTGTTGCTGCTTGTCAGAGACACCGAGAGAAATACATACTTGGGAATGTTTCGTGGGGCTCCGTTGCTCAAAAGCAAGATGTAAACTTAGTGAGACTTCAAAAGGTCTTTAACTTCCTCCTTCTAAGATCGTCGTTCTAAATAAGCCACCTAAAATGTCAATAAACGCCAAATATTTCAGTTGTGTAGATGTTTATTCTGTCAGCTTGAAAAGTTCTCCGGTGGGGATGTGTGTGTTTTCCTTGGTGTTTGGAAAATTTAAACATATTAAGCAAAAGGATTTCCTG